CCTCACCCCTCGCCCTAAGCGCCAAGGCAAGGGCCTTTTTGGCCAGAAGCTGAAGGGAGAGGAGGCTCAGCCAGCGCAGCAGGGGGAGAGCTGGGGCTGAGGGCTTCAAACACGACGGGCAAAGGGAAGGGAAGGTCACCCAGCGTGCGTCTCCTTCCTGGACCCTCTGCTACTCTAGGCAGAAGACCAGCAGGGCCTCGGGTTACCTGTGTAGAGCTGATGTGGCGTGGCGTCCAGCCCCAGAAGGTAGTTGATCATGGTGGACTTGCCAACGCTCCAGGGTCCCAAGAAGAGCACCATGGGCTTGGAAGTAATCTCTCCGTCTGCAGAGGGAAGGGAAGAGCAGCGGTTTGGAGCAGAGCAGGGCGGCTCTTCAGCCCTGAAAGTCAGCCGTGTTTGCCTGCAGGGGCATCGCTTCACTAGCCGCCCGCCAGCTGTCCTTGCCCTCCCCGGGGGGGGGCAACTATTCCACAAGAGCAACTCTGAGGGAAGGTGGGGAAGGCAGGGCGGGCTGGGGGCTCCCCATGGACAGAGACCATCCATCAGCTCTGTGGGAAGCACCTGCCAAGCCTGGGCTGTGGGTGAAACAGCAGCCCCTCTCCACCCCACAACGCCCGGACGCTGGAGACCCCCCAGCCCATGAACCTCCAGCAGAGGGAGGCTGGCCAGAGGGGCCCAGCCCCCCCTGGATCCCCTGAGCCAGTCATTTGCTTTGGCTGCCGGTAGCGCATCTTCCTCAGGACGGCAGAGCAGCTGAGACTTGGAAAGGGTTGGGGCACTTCTGTCCCTCCCCAGGGAAAGCCCCCCCCCCCTGTGCCGCATTTACTCTGCTGCCTTCCAGAAAGGGAAAACTGGTGCGCCTGACGCTCCGTTTCTGCATTATGACAAAATCCAGTTAGAGGCTTCCAAAGTGTGCTGCAGAATCCTCCCACAGACGCCAGGGAAGAGGGCGGCTGCTCCTTCGCCCAGGAAGGGCCGAGGTTGGAGCAGCCCGGGGGCCTTGGCAGCCATGCCGTCCTCGAGCCACTGACAGGCCCCCTCCAGGCTTTCTTCCTCCCAAGCTCCCCGTTGCTGCCACAAGAAACAAGATTGGGGAAGGGGGCTCCCTATCCCTGCCTTCCCCGGCTGCCAAGGAGAGGCAAGGGTGGCCCACGTCCTCCTCCGCCAGAACAAGCAGGAAGGTGGCTGAGCGCGGGGAGGGGGAGCAGGAGGAGGGTGCCCTTTCCTGGGCCCAGGGAACGGGGGCCTGGCGGGACTGGCTGACAGGACAGGCAGCTCTACCCACCTGTGGCTGAAGAGCCCAGGGTGCGTCCAGGGTAAGCTGTGGGGCAGGAGAGGGGGGTTGGGGGAGAGAAAAAGGAGTGTGAGTTGGGGAGGGCGGGAGGGGGGGAGGGTTAGTCTGGGGCAGGAAAGAACGAAAGCAGAGCTGGAGCTTCCAGGAAGGGGCCCAGCTGCCCTCCCGGAAGCCCCCGGGGTTAGAGGTCATGCTGCAAGAAGCCGCGTCCTCCCCACACAGAGATCAGCTGGAACCTCTCCCCCTCCTTTGGGAAGCATGACGTGGAGGCGCCCCCAGTCCCAGAGCACCTGCAGCCCTTGCAACAGGGCCCCGGGGGGACGGACAGAAGCCGGGGGGGGGGGAGCCACACAGCTTGGCTTCCAAAGTTCCTTCGCACTGGCCTCCAGCCCTGGGGACCGTGGCCCGAGCAGTGCTGGCAAGACAGGGCAGCGGGCACCGACTCCAAAGGACACACCGGCTTTGGGAGGGCGACCCCTCTGGGTCAGTCTGGGAACCCCCCGGCCATGGGGAGACTTCAGCAGGCAAAGGACGCCTGCAGGATTGCAGAAACACAAGGAGCCTTGAGGAAGAGGGAAACTCCACGGGGAGGGCAGCCTTTCAATCCTCCAAGTGTGGAGCTCTGTGTGTAGGAGAGCCAGAGAGGCCAGGGCCTTATGGAGGAAGCAGCGAAAAACCCCAGGATGCAACGACCCATGTGGCAANATGGGACGATCAGCCCCCGCCTCCCCCCCCGATCGCCCGGCTGGGTCCCGGCCACCGCCTGGGACTTTCCCCCGCTGGAGGGCCCGCTGGCTCCGGAGGCTCCGGCTGCCGAGAGGAGGCGAGGGCGGCTCCGACGGCTCCTGACGTCCCCTCCGATGGGAAGCCTGGGCGCGTCTCTGCTGCTGCGTTTCCGCCGGAGGAGCCGCTTCTGCCGCCGCGCCTCAAAGGGGGCCTTTCGGAAGCCCCCCCCTTTTCCCCTCCCCCCCTTTCCCCCTCCTTTCCCCTCCCCCCTCCTGGGCTTCCCCGTAGTGCGGGCCGGGGGGGGTGAGGGCGCCGCTCCTCTGGCCGCCTTGGCTGAGGGAGGGTCCGTTCCGGGGCCAACCGTTGGAAGCAGCGAAAGGCCGAGCGGGGTTGCGCTGGTGGGGAGGAACGGAGAGGCTGCTTGGGAAGCTCCTCCTGAGGCCGCTGGGGGGTCCGTGGGGGGAGAGGAGCTTCCGAGAAAGCCCTGGGAGTGGGGAGAGGGGGCGCCGCCGCCGCCGCCGCCTCGGATCCTTTCGCAGCCTCCCTGCCGTATCACACACCGGAGCCATGTCTGCAGCCAAGAGTGAGGAAGCCGCCTTCCAAGCCATCCAAGCAGATCCCAAGCCAGGGGAGCGAAAGCACCTCTGCCGAGCCTCACTGTGGTCTAGCCACTTCCTGAAAGCAGCTTGTAGGCTCAACCCAACGACTTCCTCAAGGGGGAAACGGCTTAACTAATCTCAGCGACACACAAACCACACTGGCGCCAAAGTTGGAGGCCCACCAGTGGGACCCTTGAGAGCCCCCTGCGCATCCTTGCGGGACAGAACTCTCGGTTTCCCTCGGCAACGGCTGGGCAGGGATGCTGCACCCAAGAGTAGCACAGCTGCTCCTCTCCCAGGCCTGGGAGCATCTTGGGCCGTGCCTGGGGGGGGGGGAGAACTCCTGATGCGGAGAACTACCTTGCCTCCTGTGGGCATTTCCTCCTCTGTCGCTTCAGCTGGACCAAACAAGGGAGTTTTGTGGTCAGAGAAGGTGGAGGAAGTCGGGGGGGGGGGGAGAGGGGTTGAGCACGGGGGAAACAAAATGAAAAGGCTGGGTTAGGAAAAGAGCTTTTGTGCTGGAGATGCTTCCTGACTCCAGCCACCTCCCTCCTTCATGCCCCCCCCCCACCCGAAGCATAGCCTGAGCTCTCCTGCCTGGCCTATGGAGACTTTCCACACGCAAAAATGTCCCTGCCAGAGAGGAAGTCATTAAGCAAATCCAGGCACGGAGGGGAAAGGAAGGGAGCCATTCGCTTCGGAAGGTGGTTCTCTTTTGCACTGCTTATTGTGAAAGGGCCTCATTTCAAGTGAGGCTGCTTTTGCCCTTCTCCCTGAAGCGGTGGCACTTGCTTGTGCAGGCCCTGCTGTCAACCAGAGGCTTTTACCCGTGGAAAGAAGCCCCAGAAGCCCCCGAAGGCTGCGGGGTGGGTCAGCCGTGGGAAAGCCCATCGGCCCTCTTCCTTGGGCTCCCCCCGCTGTCATCCTTTCCGCTCAGAAAGAGAGGCGACACACTAAGAAATGTGGCTGAAAAATACCAGAATTTATTAGAAGGGCTGAAGTACATCGTGTCTCCAAATATAGACTATTACTGCGAGCCACTGAAATGGATTACACAGCTATGGAATTCCTTTAAATACATCTGTCCACAATTCTGGCCAAAGAAGCAGACAACCACGGGTGGACGGTTTGGGTCTGGCCTTTTACCAAAGTGGGGAGGATGCTCGGGCTTCCACCTCCGAGCATCCCTGGACCACAAGAGCACAGATTCCCAAGGCAGGAAGGGAGGGGTGGCCACACTGGATTAGCCGCCGGCTGTTCTTAGATCACGGCCCCATCTAAGTGGGCAGAGGGTGGATGCCTCCAGATCCAGGATCAATTACCTTCGGAGATATTTTGTCTTTGTCTTTTGTTGTGGAGGTCCATGTGGTTGCCAAGCAATCTCCGGCCCTGTTGTTAGCACAGCACAAGCACACGCAAAGGCCATGATGGCTGGGGATGCCTAGGAAGTCTCGGTGGTCTTGCAGGGTTCCCCTCGCAGCCGAACAGGGAAGGCACCTGTCTTCCCTCCTCCTGCCCAGCAAACCACACGTTTCCCTTCCCTCCCTTTCGGCACTGCCAAGAACAACCTACACTGTCCCTCCAGCCCCCCCCCCACCTCCTAGCCCCCACCTCAGTGCCACAGAGGAGGCTTTGCACTCTGCAGCCTATGGGCTCAATAGGTGCTCCAAACTGGGCAAATCCTTTAGAGTAGACAGTTGCAGAGACTTTTCATTCCATGCAACTCGCAAAATATTGATGCGTGAAAGGAAGGGCAGAAGGGATACGAGGGAAATCCAGCAAGCCTGAGAACAGACGGCTAAGGGAAATATAGATATATATATATATATAAAAAATGAAGGATGTAAAGTAGGCCAGGAAGCAAATCGGGCCCCCTGCTTCCTGAGGGAACAGGCCCCATTCCCTGGGGGAATCGGTGGGAGGAGCCCTTCTTCCCGCTGAAGCATCACCCAGAAGACGGCAATGCTTGGAGAGTTCTCCAGACCATCCAGAGAAAGCACACCGAGATGGGGAAGCGCTGCTGAGGAGAGGAGCTAACCGAGGGTGGCCAGGAGGGGGAGCCGAGACCTTCCCGTGGCCAATTCTCAGGGGGCCTCCTTGGCCAGCTGCTCCCCTGCGATTGCAGCTCCTGCGAGTCAAGAACCTTAACTCCAGGGGCCGTGTTTGGCTCCCCCTGGTGGTCAGGAGGCCTTTTTGGCCTCCTTTCAACATTCCGGTCCTTCCTTCTCAGCATATACGCAAGGCCTCTGCCAATTTCACCTCTCCTTGACACATTGCATCTTTTTTAAGTAACAAAGATTAAATCATGACGGGTATTCACAGTGCTTTATTCTCTTTACCAGGCCCACCCAACTTCCCTGCCATTGGGATCCCAGCCGCTCGCTCTGCGGCCCCCAGAGGGGCCAACAGGGCTTCTTGGACAGATAAGACATAAGCTCATTCATCAGCCGGGGCGCAGGAGGGCCACACGCTGGCGGCCTCTTAGTGCTTCTTGTAGCGGTTCTTTGGAGTTTCCCCGCAGCCGGTTGTGTCGCAGGAGAGGGGGCCGGGCTTCTTCCCCAGGCCGATGCTCCCGAGGAGGTCAGGCAGCTCGCGGGTGATGGCCCTCTCGATCTTCTCCAGGAAGCAGCCCCCCATGTAGGAGCACTGCTGTGCGAGCAGCTTGAAGCTGTGGATGGGGTTCACCCCAAAGAAGTCCTTGTAGGCCTCGCGGTTGGGCAGGTCGAACTTGCTGACGTTGGTCTTGGCCAGGATGGACTTGAAGATGAAGAACTTGTCTGGATCCTCCACGATGTCCCTGAAGACCAGCTCCCCGTCGCTGAAGAAGGTCATTTTGTCCTTGTAGGTCTGCAGGTAGCGATCGACCAGGAGTGCGTGGATGCGAACCCGGATGGCGTGTTGGCGGATGAAGGCGATCTTGTTTTCCAGCCGGTTCTCAATCACCTGGTTGAGGTCTTCCAGAAGGGAGATCTCCTCCTTGGAGAAGAGGTCGCGGTGGGTTTCGGCTTGGTACTCCAGGGGCCAAAAGGAGCTGACGTAAACCCGGGGGGGCTCAGTAACGTTAATGAGGGGGGCCAGGCTCCAGAACAAGGCGCCGTACACCCGCATGAGCTCCTGAGTAGCCAGGCTGTCCGCCTTGTTCAGGATGATCCTGATCTGGGACTCCCGGCCCTTCAGCTGGCGGAAAAGCATCTCCAGTTCCAGCCCCACGTCCAGTTTGGTCGGGTCAAATACCACGAAGATGAGATCGGCTCGATCGATGAACCATTGGCAGACGTCATTGAACGGATAGCCTGCAAGAGAAGACGAAGAGGGGGGGACTTTGTGACCTTTGAGAGGAGGAGGAGGAGGAGGAGCCGAGGGCCACCCAGCTGTGACTCCCTATCACGGGGGCCCTGTCTCTGAGCGATTATCTGCTGGATGCAAGAAGGAGCATTTGCAAGGGGAAAAGAATAATAGCTAGTGGATTAGCCAAATTGCAAAGTCTCTCAGGCAATGGCTACGATGCTTAAATGTTTGTTATTCCAGTGAGCTTTGAAACGCTTTGAACATTAGGATGCTCAGGGATACAAGGCTGGCCGTTGTTTAACACCGGGAGCCGCTAAGAGCATCATTCTGGAGCTTTCGGTCTCTTCCGTTTGCTCTCTTCTAAACTGGTCCTAATCCCGAAAGGGCCTTAAAGGCCAATTAGTGGCTCGCTTCCATTTCCAGGCGCCCCAGACCCGGCTCCCTCTTCCAACTTGTGGGGTTCTGAGCACGGAAGAGCATCACCTGCTTGGCCCCACTTTGTGCTTTCTCTGTGTAAATAAAGCACCTGTTCCAAAATCTGAACGTTTTGCTTTGGGTGCTTTTTCTATTAACGATTTGCATCCTTTTTTCCATTCGGTTCCCTTCCTTTAAGTAATATTGAACACGGATACAAATGACTCCGGCAACGGTTGGGATAGAATCAATTTGTACAACCAACTGCTTCAATTCCAATTTCAATTCAATTTTTTTCAATTTACTTTATTTGTATGCNCCTCTGGCAGCCAGACCCTTGCAGGCAGCACAACAGCAGCCAAGCCCCCAGCCCACCTGCCTTACCCGTAATTTCATGCTGCCGAAGCTCATTGTACTTGTAGGACTGCTCCAAGGGCTTGATGGAGGAGTGGTAGATTTTCCTCAGCCGCTGCAGGATGGCTGCAAGAAAGAGGCCAGGCAGAAAGTCAGCCCAGCCGGCTGCTCTAGGGGCTCCTGGGGCCTGCCATGCGGGGAGCCAAGGCTGCACTTGTGCCCTTCCATCTTTCCGGGGTCAGTAAAATGAGGGCCCGGATGGTTGGGGGCAAGAGGCCGACTCTTTAAGCCACCCCCGAGAGGGCTGCGAAGCCCTTTGGAGCAGTAGATGAGTGCTAGAGCTCTCCCCTGCCTTTTGGGGGGCCCCCTGGACACGCGTGGAGCCCTGCTGCTACCTGAGTAGTCTTCTGCGGGTTTCTCTTCCTTCAGCTTCAGGGTGCTCTCAATGTGGGACCGGTCCCTCTGCGCGTTCTCCAGCTCCTCCGCTGAAAGAGCAAAGCAGAGGCCTCAGCCCACAAGCAGCACTCGGGGCCAAATGGCCCAAGGGAACAAGAGGCATTTTCCTTCACAGCTGAGTACAGAGATTTTTCTTGTCTGGAAAAAGCGCCTTGTTTTCTCCCCGATTTCCACAAAAGGCCCAGCCAGGGAGCAAAATGATGGGCCAAGCTAGGAAGGACACCTGTCACCGCTCGAAAGAGGAGCCAGAAAGGTTTCCGTGGCTTGAGCAGCCAGGAGGGGAGGGGGAGGCAGAGGGCAGGCCTTTCAGAAGGGCCCCCAAAGCAGGACAGGTTGCCCTGGGCCTCCAAGCCCCAACTAGTGGGTGGGGGGGGCACCTGGCCCATTGTTTCGAGTCAGTCCAGACAAGGACGCCCATATCTCCCTCCAGGAAGCCTCGCCTGGCTGCCCAGCTTTTCTTGCCAATAGCCTCGGGGGAGCCCTGCCCAGGGAGGTTCTACTGTGACCACTGGGTGCGTCTCCCAGGGCAGCTTCTCCACAGACGGCTGCCTCCAGCTGCCTAACCGGCCACGGCCACAATCTGGAGACACGCTGGCCTCAGCTGCCCAAAGAGACGGAGCAGGAAGGAGAGGCCTTCCTTCCTTCCGACTTCCCACCCTCTTCCCACTCGGGATTGCTGGCCTCACCTCCGCCCAGCGCTAACCTCTCCCTCCCAGGAACCCCTCCTGACAGCCCCCCCACACACACACACAAGGACGGGCTGCCTTGCGTCCTGCTTTAGCCGAAGCCACCAGTGGACAGAATCAGGGGCTGCTTCCTCTGGGCAAGGCAGACGCCCCTGGGAAGGAACTGCACAGAGCTCAAAGGGGGGAACTCAGCCGCCTGGATCATTAAATCCTTCTTAGCCTCCAAACTGCCGCGGGGTTTCTCCTGGGAACCTGCCTGCCCGGAGAGCTTTGTGCCGTTTTGCTGCGTGGGACTAAAAAGAGCAACCAACGGGAAGAGGCCTCCTTCGCCTGGCCTTGCAATCCCATCCCGCAGAAAGAGCCCCTCTAGCCCAGGATCGGAAGGAGTTGGGGACACGCCTGGTTTCACGAGAGCCAAGAAGGGTCAGGCGTCACGGACTTCGACTCCAGCCGAGGAGAGAAATCGGAAGCAGAGGATCCTGGCATGGAAGGGGCTGAGGGTGTCCTTTCCAGAGCAGATTCCCCTCCAAGGACAGACAGCCATCCGCCCAGATCCCAGGACACCCTGCCTCCTAGGACCAAGTTCCCCCGGGGACTCAGGAATCAGGTCCCAAGCGAGACCTGGCAGGTTTTGCAACCCTGAGCTGAAAGAGCACCAAGCCAGACGAAAGGAATAGGGAGGGGGGTGGACAGGGTGCAGGGGGGGGGGCTTGCACTGCAGAAGCTGCCTTGGGAGTCCAGGTCACGCCCCCCCCCCAAGTGCCCCCCTTGGCCTGAGAAGGTTTAGCCTAGAAAGAGGAGTGAATGGCCGAGGCAGCTTTTCTGCCCATCCCGCGAGCCTGAATTCCCCCGCCTTCCTTGTTGGAATGCCAAAGAGGACGAAGGCAGCTGGCACAGGGCACAAAGGGCACGGCCAAGAAGATGAGTCTCCTGGCCAAAAAAGCTTGGTCTCTGCTGGGGGTGGCTGTGTGGCACCTCCACTTCCTCTCCCTGCAGGGTATCCTCCTTGGCAGATGGCCCGTTCTGCTGCCTCTCCACACAGGCCACCTTCTGGGCTGCCCCCTCCGGAAAGAGAGCCTGGAAGGTCCTCTCTTCCTTGGACTCTGCCTCCTTCTCCCCTTCCCCTTGGCAGCCCCTCTACCTGGCCCTCCCACCCGACCTCTGCCTCCGCAGCATCTGGGGGCAGATACCACCTCTGGGCCGCTTTCTCTCTGCCGGAGGAGGAACCTTCCCTTCAGAAGCTGCTGCGCCTTCTGCCCCACTGCCATTTGGCTGCCCCTGGCCAAAGCCCCGTCCTTCCATGGGAAGCTGGGTGGCAGCTCCGGCTTCATCCACTGCAGCTCTTCCTCTGCCATCCGGCTCTTCTGGACTCCCTGCCAGGTCCTCCGTAGCTCCTTCCTCTGCTGGGTGGGCACTTGCTGCCTCCTCCGGCTCTCCCGGTTCACGCAAATCCCGCAGAACAGCCCTGAGCGTCTCCCTGGGTTCCTCTCTTGGCAAAGGGTTGCCCAAGTGCCCTTCCAGAGTTTCATCCACCTCAGGGGAATCGGTGAGGTTATCATCCAGCTGTGCCCCCAAAGGGCGGAGAGGATCCTGAGACGCCTCTTGGTTTCGTCCTGGGAGAAGACCGTGGGCCTCTTCCTCAAAAGGACTCTCCGTCTTTAGTGGAGCCTTTTCTTCACCCCGCGACCCTTCCGCCCTTCGTGCGGAAACCTCCTCCGGCTCCCCCGAGCTGCTTCCGCCTCCTTCGTGACCAGCCGTCCCCTCTTCTTGGCCAGGGACCTCCCCTCGCTCAGCCGCGCGTGCTCCGTCCTCCTCCAAGGGGCCCCTTTCTGCGCTGTCCACGTTGGGGCCTGCACTGGTGGATCCCTCACCCCGAGGCTCCTCCTGGCTGCCTGAGAACGGGGGGAGAGGGATTCCATTGAGCAGCCTCTGCTTCTTCACTAGACTTGGGTCTCCCGGCAAGAAGCCACCCTCAGCCAAGTTGGCAAAGTCTTCTGCGCCCTCCAGGGCAGAAACTTGCAGTTCTAGATAGTTAGAAGACGATCAGTCAGTTTCACCTGTGCCCCAAATTGCAAATGTGCTTCTGTATAAAAAACGGAACTGGACTTTGAGGCTCTTCTAAATCCAATCCTGACCAGCAGATTTAGGATCTCGCTTGCCTGGCCTGGTCCTAGCTGCTAACTGTGTGCCAACAGTTTTGCCAGGTTGGGCTGGAGAACAGACGTTGCCCTTAACCCCCCTCCCAACCAGCACCGCGGCTGTCCCTTTCGGTCTAGCAAGACAGACGGGGGGACAGGGGGAGCATCCCTGAGGGTCTTTTCAGGGGTCTTAGTCCCCTTGAGGCCATCCCCCTGGGGTCTGGCCAGGAAGTACACTGCCATCTTTCCCCACCCAACTGCCTTCCTGTCTTCTACTAAAAATCCGAGCAGAATAAAAAGGGGAACTGCAGGGATGTCGAGGAGAGCTTTGCCCCTGCAGATCCGCAGTTAAGAAATCCCAGCCATCTGAAGACTAGCAGGGCTGGCACAGGCTGAAGACCAGCCGTCTTGGCAAAGCCCGTTCCCTGCCATGCAAACAGAGAAGGCAGCTCTGGAATGATCTCCCCCCTCCCCTCGGGGCACCGGGGGCGGAATCTTTCTTCTCAAGTGTCGGGGCTGCTCGAGAACCCCCCCCCTCCTGATAGCGGCACCCTTTGCCCACTCGCAGAAGCCAGGATCCAGGGCAGGAGGAGCCTCTTTGTGGATCAGGAAGGCAAAACTGGCGGAATCTACAAGAGAGAGATGCCAAGGGAGCCTCCTCCTCCTCCTCCTCCGTTGCTCCTGGAAAAGGGGATCCCCAAAGGAGATGCCAACTGCCTGAGTGGCACCCGAGACGTTGCTGTCAGCGCTGCTTCGTGGGCTCCAAGCCAGGCCTTCCAGCTGAAGAGGCGTTGGCTGGTCGCCCAGGAGAGACGCTCCCATGCCGTCCCTGGGCTCCCGACCGTCCCTGGCCTTTAGCAGAGGAAACCAGGCAGGGAATCCCTTTCTGATGGCTCCGACAGAAACCGCTGCATCTTGAGGCAAAGTCTCCCCCCCCCACACCTGACCCTCAGGTAGACAGCCAGGTCCTACCTGCAAGGAGCCCCACCCCCTGCCTGAGGACCCAGAGAGGAAGGGCCTGACACCCAGGAGCTGCTGAAGGGCATTAAAAAGCCCGGAGGGGCCCAGCAGGAGAAGGGGAGGGGTGCTCGGTCCTCTTGTTCGGGGCTCCCTGGGAGGAAAAGATCCCGCTGGGGGTGGGGGCTTCGCTGCCTTGAAGAAAGTGGGGCACTTGGGGCTTTTGACGGTGGCTTCTCCGTCTCCCAATGGGACCCCCTCTGCTTTCTCTAGCTGGGCAACCTCCCGAGGAGCTTCTCCTGAGCGGGGCCTGCTCCTTCCTCCGTTCCGCTGCCCTTGTGCCAAAAGGCCAGGCAGGGCCTCTGGTCACCCAGCGGAGAAGCCCAAAGCGCTGCAGGAGGCGGCTGAAGGGCAGGGAGGCGCCCCCAGGGCTTATGCACGCAACCTGCCAGCTGATCTGCAGACGCCCAGGAGGGAGAGCCACAGAGTGGCAAAGGGGCCGAAGGAGTGGAGCTCAGCACCAGCAGCTTCCTCCTTGCGCTAAAAATATCCCCCCAGCCCTGGAGGGCAGGGGGGAAAGTTGCTCTTGGGTGAAGCCCAGAGCCAAGAAACTCCCCCCCCCCCCTCTGGCTGACAGGCGGCACAAAGAAACATTTGCAGGCCTGGCAGGCTGAGAGGAGCCTCAAGGCTGACTCTGAGGGGGCAGAGCCTGCCCCTCGCCCTGTCTTTCCTAGGGGTTGGGCCGAGGGAGCCACGGTTTCCTGGGAGAGGCAGGGGGCTTCCTGCTGGTGGGTGGGAGGGCTCCCGTCCCTGAACTGAGTGGGGCGTCATTCCCCAAGTACCCTGGACGGTGGGGGAGAACTACATCTGCTCCAGAAACCCCCAGTGACGTGGGACGGGCGCTCTGGCCCACTACAGCAGCCGGCTCTTGTCTGCAGGCCACGCGGGGCTTAGAAGAGGCGGCAGGTGAGGGCAACCAGTTCTGCAGACACAAAGCCAAGAGCCTGACCAGAGGAGAGATCCAGGCTGCCCCCACTGCCCTGGGAAGGCTAAGGAAGGCGCCGGCTGGGAGCTGGGGAGGGCAAGGCTGGCCCTGCCAGTCCAAGCAGCGTCCGGCCTGCTCAGGCTGAGGGCCACAGCGGCCTCACTTTCGCCAGCTTTAAGGCGCCAGTCGCGGGACGCACCCAGAGGGAGAGGCAGCTCCAACCAGGGCTGTGCAAATCGCGGG